TACAATGCTCTCAGTGAGGAAGACATTGGTGGGGCCCCCGAACGAATGAAAAAAAAAGCAAAGAGGCAGCTATCTGCTTCGGTGGAGGTAACACCTCCAGGACACTTATGCGCTCATTTTAAGAACGATTCAAAATTGCGCACACACGGTGACAAATATCGCTGGGTCTCTAAGGCCCTAAAAATGGACCCTTATAATAAAACATACGGATCCATTGAACTTAAAATTGGAAGAAACAACGTATTTGTCAGATGCAAGAACGAAGAAATCCTTGATCAAATAACATCTATTGGTGCATGCGGCGAAGTACTAGTAAAAGCCAAAGTGTTCGGCAAGGGAAAATGCACGAACATCATTGTGTTCGATGTCCCAAGGGAAATCGAAACACAAGAAATGACAACCTACAACGAACGGATCATTCATGCGAGGCGCATGAAGACAAATGGAATGATGACCCAGAGAGTCATCATAACTTATGAGGGGGAGGTAATCCCCAAAAGCATCAAAATGGTCGAGGGCATGGCACCCTTTAGGTGTGCCGTCTTCAAATCCCTGACCCCTTTTTGCTCCAATTGCTCAAAGTGGGGCCACGGGACGCGTGCTTGTCCGCGAGACGCACCGCGATGCCGTTACTGTGCTCTTCCACACGGAAGTTCTGAATGCGCAGAAAAGATTTCCGAAGGAGAAAATGTCCCTCGGAAATGCGTGAACTGCCGACAAGAGCATAATGCAAATTCTCCATTATGCCCTTACTATCCAAAGGACAGAAAAACAAATAGTAAAATGAACAGGCAGCCCTCCCCCCCACAAAAGTCCCAGCCAGCCCCGCGCGTCGATGATGTGAGGGAATTCCCACACCTGCAGAGGTCAGCAGTGGTGGCCCCTGCAACGGAAGCCAAGGCGCAGGCCACAGTACCAGCACAAGCAGGAGCTCAAGCTCGGTCAGCTCAAGCACCAGCACCAGCTGCAGCACCAGCCCCAGCACCTTATGCTGCATCAGTCTCTGCACCACCTTCAACACCAGCTGCAGCTCCAACTCTAGCACCACCTGCAGCACCAGTTTCAGCACCAGCTTCAGCACCAGCTTCAGCACCAGTTGCAGCTCAGCCCTCTCTGCAGCAGGACAAACAAGAGTCCAACGGAGAAATCAAAGAACTACTGCAAATGCTACTTCGACAGATGGAGCAGATGATGTTCATGATGCAGCAACAAATGGCTCAACAATCTCAACTTCAGGAAAGGATGTTCTCGTTCCTCCTAAATCAACAACAGAATCACCCTGTAGTGGGCCTTGGAAATGGCCAAGTAATCAATGTCTCCAGTTAATCACTTGAAATGTATTACTGGTCTTGTCTTTGACATGATTAGTGATGTAAAAGGTTTTTTACCAGTCAGATGATATTTTAATATTGTGATAATAGAACAGCCCTTCAGGCATGTATGTAACACTGTTTGACCAATGGCCCTCTACACAAATAGCAGCACAGCCAGTTTGGATAGATGCTTTGGTATCTTACCCTGGCTTTTTGCAGGGCATGTACACTGTTCTGTAAATAAATGTTATCAAATCAAATCAAATCTCTCTCTCTCTCTCTCTCTCTCTCTCTCTCTCTCTCTCTCTCTCTCTCTCTCTCTCTCTCTCTCTCTCTCTCTCTCTCTCTCTCTCTCTCTCTCTCTCTCTCTCTCTCTCTCTCTCTCTCTCTCTCTCTCTCTCTCTCTCTCTCTCTCTCTCTCTCTCTCTCTCTCTTGCGTTCGTTGTTACTTGTTTTTCGTTTTTACATAACCCATATCCTTTTTTATCGCCGTTATTAAATTTCCAATTTATCTTCATTACTATAGTCGTAAATAAACGTTTTTAGTCAAATATAGTTTCCATAACATAAAACTTTGCGTTCGTTGTTACTTTTTTTTTGCTTTTTACCTAACCCATATCCTTTTTTATCGTCTTTATTAAATCTCCAATTTATCTTCATTACCATAGTCATAAATAAACGCTTTTATTCAAATAATAAATATTTTTACATTACGTAAAAACTTTGCGTTCGTTCTCCTCCCGGTTTGTTGACAAAAAACAGCTGATCGAAAACAAACAAGGCGAAGACCATGATGTCGGGTATTGACGTTTGTGCCTCGGATGCCGCTCGGTTTTCTTGATTTGTAGATTTAAGTTAAACAAAAGAACAAACAAACAAAAAAAAAGGCAGCTTGGAAGGAGAATTTATCAGATATAAGAGTAGAATAATAGGACGATCCATATAAATGAGAGAACTTCTGTTTCATTGACGATGTTTTCTACAACACAACAACAAAAAATAACACTTGATTTTCATCGTAATGCGTAAGAGACATGAGGATCAAAAACAACATAAATATATATCTGTCTTGTAGGTCAGTGTAGTGTATGCTGCAGTTCGGCCCAATTTTAAGCAATGAGATATGACTGGCTTCTTTACATATTAATTCTTTACATATTAAATGGACGGTTATCCTTTTATGTCAGTGTTCCTTGTTGTTGTTATTTGTGTCATTATTGGTATGATTATCCTTTTATGTCAGTGTTCCATGTTGTTAAGCCTTTTTATAAATTTTGTCCGGATCGTTGTGAAGTCATTAATGTGTGATGTTTCATATACAATAACAGTCGCTGACAGTGTTTAGGATTTCTCGCTTAATTTGATGTGATCAGAAGGAATAAGATATTTGTTTCATGTGTAATATTTTTTTGGTTTCTAGATTAGTAACCCAGCCTCCGTTTCCCAATCCAACAGGTTTGAGGGTGCCATGGAAATCATGGCTATGGATGATGTGTTGGGTGGATCTGCTTCGTATAAGGTAATATCATGTAATATTGCCTTCATTGTTTACACACTTGGTAAGACAAAGTCAACATAGTTCTTACAGAAATGCATAAGTTGAAGAGAAAAATTGTATGATTGAGTCTTTATTTACCTTTTTTCAGTTCAGTCATTAACCCCTCAACTAGCTTGTGATATATTTATAGTAACAGACATGTTTCTTTCAAAGACATGGTCTGTTTTTCCTTGTGCATTTTTATTTAATTATTCATTCAATATGCTTTGCCTTGTAAATGATTTTCATATAATCACCCACCCAACCTTTTCCAAGTATAGGGAGAGAAATGCTCAATACTAACCAAACCTAGATTACTTGAAGCTTATCTAAAATAGGCTAATCTAATTTAGTATTATATACATATTGCACCTTGCTCAACCTCGTACTACATATTATGTGATGACAACCATTGTTTGATTAATTGAAAAGGTAGTTTATTCTCATGTTGGTATAAATTAGTTTTTAAAAATCATAGAGCATGCTTATCTTTCTTTGATTTTATAAGCAAAACAAAATTTCTTAGGCATTCAGGATACATATACTTGTGCTCACATAAATGATAGCATATCTAGCAGAATTCAACGAGGATTGACAGAAAAGAAATATCTTCCATCTGAATCATGTAGTTTACAAAAGGTTAGAATAATGGATTGTATTTGTCACTATCACTTTTCTTTCTCATTCCTTCCATTCTTCAGAATTCTTATAAATGTATATTATCAATGACATTTTACACTCTGGATTCATTCATACCTTTTACACAATTGTTATGATGTCTTTTTCTTCTTCTTTTTTTGTCAATATACATTAGTTTACATAAGAGCAGTATGGAGTTCCAGGAATCACCAAATAATACAAGATTTTTTTACTCATTTCATTCATACAACTGCTAATGCTTGGTTAAAGTATATGAAAATAACAATAGTTATTCATATATTTTCATGTTTGCAGGATTTCTATTGTTGCTGGGATTCCACGAAAGGCTGTCAGACACTTCCTTTGAAACCAGATTTCTAGGTTTTGATTGGCCTGGTATGTTTTGGATTTTGTGTTCCTTATTCTGAATTAGTAGTGATCTGATATTGTGCTAGTGATACTAATTACAAATTTCTCTCTCTCTCTCTCTCTCTCTCTCTCTCTCTCTCTCTCTCTCTCTCTCTCTCTCTCTCTCTCTCTCTCTCTCTCTCTCTGTGTTGTGTGTGTGTGTGTGTGTTATATATATATATATATATATATATATATATATATATATATATATATATATATATATATATATATATATATATATATATATATATATATATATATATATATATATATATATATATATATATATATATATATATATATATATATGTATATATATATATATATATATATATATATATATTATATATGTATATATGTATATATATGTATATATATGTATATATATGTATATATATGTATATATGTATATATATGTATATAATGTATATATATGTATATATATGTATATATATATATATATATATATATATATATATATATATATATATATATATATATATAAACTAGTGAACACATAGGATACTCATCTCATATACCTCTTGTGAAGTTCACTTTGACCATGATTATGTTACCATCCTGTTGCTATTTCCAGGATTTGAACAAAATTTGCTCACATGGGAAGCTGTTTGCATATGATAGGAGTCCAAGATTTCTAGTTCTTCTCAGCTACTTGTCAAAGGTAAAGGAAAATTTTATTTGTATTCAGCTTTTGTAATTTTCTGCACAAAAATTTATCTGTAATGATGGAACATTTTCATATTAGTGATAGAAATATTATCATTGTTTTTATTATTTCAGTGTGTAGTAAAAGGACTCTGAAATTGAGGCATATGGCAATACAGAAAAATATGTTTAGTTATTTCCTTAGTAGGATATTTAAAAATAATTAATTGCAATGATAGCTGACATGCCATATATATATATATATATATATATATATATATATATATATATATATATATATATATATATATATATATATATATATATATATATATATATATTTATATATATTTATTTACCGTGGTTTTAACCAAAATCTGGCAGGCATGGCAAGTGCATACATGCCATGCCCACTATGAGTTTACTTTATTAATTGTATTAACACATAGATGGCTACACATGTACTAAGTCACTAATGCCTGTTTAGCCTTTTCCTTGATTTTCAAAAATATTTTAAGTTATCTTAACTTATCTTAAGTTATCTTATCTTTTCGCGTCAGGCGTCACGTATATGTGACGGGCTCACTGTGAGTTTACTTGTTTAATTGTTTTCACACATAGATGGCTACACTTGTACTTGTACTGCCTGTCTCGCCTGTTTACCTTTTTCTTTAATTTACGAAATTATTTTACGTTATCTTATTTTGTTGTTACTAATGTTTATAACATCATAGTAATTATAATGTTTATAATGAATATAACCATTGATATTCATAGCACTAGTAAAAATACATTTTCCCGCCAATTCAAGTAAAGGTAAAATCAGGTAAGGCAGAGCCATCTAGTGTAGAGAAATTTCATAAAAAATGAGCTCAGCCTTTTCCCCATTTTTTGTTAATTTTTACCCAGCGCAAATGGGTTAATTTGCTGTTATATTACATTATAGTAATTATAATGTCTATGCCAAAAATAATGTCAACATTGATAAAAAAAACATTAGTAAAAAAAAAAAAGAAAGAAAAAAAAAAAAAAAAAAAAAAAAAAAAAAAAAAAAAATATATATATATATATATATATATATATATATATATATATATATGTATATATATATATGTATATATATATATATATGTATATATATATATATATATATATATATATATATGTATATATATATGTATATTTGTGTGTGTGTGTGTGTGTGTGTGTGTGTGTGTGTGTGTGTGTGTGTGTGTGTGTGTGTGTGTGTGTGTGTGTGTGTGTGTGTATTGCAGTTTTATTATTGTCAGTGGACAGTGCATTGGGGTCTTACATATATATATTGATGGATAGATAGATATCAATATAGATAGAGATATGTATTTATATGTGGATAGATATAGATATATGTATATATTGTATGTATGTACATATATGTATATTGAAATTCAGAAGTATCTCTTGATATCAGCCTTTTAATTTTTCTATAGCACTGGCTTCAACAGATCCAAAAGCATCAAAAGGTTGGCCCCTCATCTTATGTTTGGAATAAAGAAACTCTATTTCTTTTCTTTCCTGTTTGTTCATATGATAATTGTCATTTTTCTCTTGCAGCAGTTATTGGGAATTTTGTATGAGTGACAGCAATTGCTATCATGGATGACTCAGGCTCAGACTTGAAAGTGAATGACAGCAAAATCGAATTTGTTGCTGTGAAGGAAGAAAATACGGAAGATACTGTTGAGGAGGATTTCCAGGAAGTAAAAGAAGAAATTATTGAGGATGTAGAGGAAGAAAATGCTGTATATATAAAGACAGAAGACAAAATCAATGCAGATTATGAATGCCCATTGTCTGAAGATGGCAAAACTTTTGGCAATGAAGCAGATAAGAATGATTCAGACGTGTTGATGTGTGAAGACATAGATCCACTATCATCAGTGGCAGTTGTGAATGAAGATTGTGGGAATATGTGCTCATCAGATAGTGATCAGTTGACATGCAGAGAAGGCAATGAGGAGGTGGCATGTAGAAAAGAGGAAGCAAAAAAGAAGCGTTTCCCATGTGAAGTATGTGGCAAGAAATTCGATTTTAAGAGTATGCTTATACGTCACATGACAGTACATACGAGAGAAAAGTCTTTTATTTGTGAGGTATGCAATAAGTCATTTGCATGGAAATTTGATCTAGTGAAACACATGAGAGTACATACAAATGTGAATCCTTTCAGCTGTGAGGTATGTAGTGAGTCATTTGCATGGAAACGTGATCTGGTGAGTCACATGGGGATACATACAAAAGAAAAGCCATTTACCTGTGAAGTGTGTAACAAGTCATTTGCATGGAAACGAGATCTGGTGAAACACACAAGAAAACACACAAAGGAGAAGCGTTTTCGATGTGAGGTATGTACTAAGGCCTTCTTTGATGAAGGGAATCTAGTGAAGCATACGAGAGTCCATACAAAAGAGAAGCCATATGTCTGTGAAGTCTGTAGCAAGGCATTTTCTGAGAAAAGTAATCTAGTACGGCACATGAGGGTACATACAAGGGAGAAGCCTCATACATGTGAAGTGTGTAAAAAAGCATTCTCTGAGAAAAGTACACTCATGTTGCATATAAGGATACATACGGGAGAGAAGCCATTTAACTGTGAGATATGCAGCAGGGCATTTGCTGTGAAAGCAAATTTATTAAAGCATATTAGAGTGCACAGTAAGCGGAAGCAAAAGAAAGGAGAAAAATTACTTTAGCTTCAAGCAATCCATTTGATTATCATCCATTTAAATATATTGCCATTGAAATCTGACACTCTCAAGCCATGTAAAGAGGTAGGGTGGGAAGATCAATTTAGTGTTGACTAATATTTGTGATTCTGGAAAGTGTAGGAAGGAGGAAACTAGCAGCTCAGCCTGGCCTGTGGAGTACTTCAATACCCTTTTCTTATTCTAATTAGCTGACACATACATAGTGTGTGTGTGTTTATGAATATTTAATATATATTATATATACAAATACATATATATATATATATATATATATATATATATATATATATATATATATATATATATATATATATTAATACACTCATACCTTGTTTTAGCAGGGTAAAGGAGGGAAGTATAGATGTGATATTGCCACTTGTCAGTAGGCTAATATTAACAATGACATGGCAAAAAAAAAAATTACAATATTACAGCATACATATCTACATATACATACATACATATACATATACATAGGAATGTATATTAATAAATTCATACCATATTTTGATAGACTTAAACAGGGAAATGCCAGCACCATATAGCCACTTGTCCATCGATATCAACACAAAGTCTATAATGGCTAATATCGGCAATATTACGAAAAGAGCAATATTGCAGTATTGTACTGTTCATTAAGCTCACCATCTAATCTCACTGTATATCTGAAACTGTATATAATGTAAGTAATACATACAATGTTTATAATGTATAAAATATATATTATGTATATAGTACATATAATACGTATAGTATATATATATACATATATATATATATATATATATATATATATATATATATATATATATATATATATATATATATATATATATATATATATATATATATATATATGCCAGGAAAACAGATTTATTAATATACATTAATATCTGATTTATTCATATATATAGCTTTAATGAATCCAATTAAATATCACCCATTTAATTACATTGCCAATTGAAATCTGATATTTTCAAGCCATGTAGATTAGGAATTTCATTTTAGTATTGACTAACATTTGTAATTCTGTCATGTGTATGTCCAGTTTCAGGAAGGAGGAAAATAGCAACTCCCCCTCTCTTTTTTTATTCATATTAGCTGACAATTTCTCTCTCTCTCTCTCTCTCTCTCTCTCTCTCTCTCTCTCTCTTTCTCTCTCTTTCTCTCTCTTTCTCTCTCTCTCTTTCTTCCTCCCTCAAGAGAAACACTGATTCAGAATACTCAAGTGTTGGGCGAGTTCCCAGTTTTTCTGCTCGTGAGACTGAACAGAGCGTAGAGGGATGTTCCCTCATTACATTTTTTTTAGATGCACTTAGAATATTCATGTCAGAGTACTGATATTTGTATCTTTATACTAGCATCTTAACAACCCTGGAATGTACCCATGGATTTTTTTTTTTTTTTTTGTATTTTGTAATTTTATATAATGTATTTATATATACATATATACTTATAAATGTATAGGTATATGTAAATGAATTTATATATGCATATATATTTGCTAGTGCATATACGTGTTTATCTATGTATGTATATATAAATGTTTGTGTGTATATATTTATATATATATATATATATATTTACAGATATGTATTCATAAATATACATAGATATATTATATATAGATACATACATATATATACACATATATATCTATATTAACCCATTGGATCCAGTTGTATCATGGCAGTCATGTTACCAAAAATCTAGGGCATTAAGCGTACGTGAATGACCACTCTACCAGGAACTGCTTGTATGCCAGGCACACATGAACACATGTGCAGTGGTAAGACTTAAGGCCTCCTACTTCCAAAGTTATTTACCCTTTTTACGCATGAGCATTTTTAGCTTTTTGGCCATTTTCCAATGTCCATATCTGCCATTTGATTTGCATTATCCAGATAATTTTTTTCTCTGCACAGGCTCTAATCTCTCAAAGTAATCATCCAGATTTTTTCATGACGTGATGATCATGTCACCCGGATCCAAAGGTTTCATATTCATACATTGTTTTAATGGACTGAAGGAATACCATATTACCACTTGTAGATACCAACACAAAGTTTATAGTAGTTATTATCAACAATGACATTACAAAAAAAAAAAAATTCAGCAGGGTACTTTTAATTAATCTTATTTGACTGTGTATACCAAATACTGTTTGTATACAATGTATATTATATATATATAATATATATAGTACATACAATACATATAGTATATATATATATATATATATATATATATATATATATATATATATATATATATATATATATATACATATATATATATATATATATATATATATATATATATATATTTATATATATATATATATATATATATATATATATATATATATATATATATATATATATATATATATTATATATATGCTGTGAAAGCTAATTTATTAATGTATATTAGAGTACACAATAAGTAGAAGCAAAAGAAAGGAGAGAATTACTTTAGCTTTAAGCAGTTCCATTTAATTATCATCCATTTAAACATTTTGAAACCATGTGATTCTGGCAAGTGTATTTTGTCTAATATGAGGAAGGAGGAAACTGGCAGCTTACCCTGACCTGTAGAGTACTCTAACACCTCCCTTTTTTATTCAAATTAGCTGACACTTTTCGTTTTTATTTTCTCTTTCTCTCCCTCTCACAAGAGAAACAGTGAATCAGAATACTCAGGAGTTGAGTGACTTCCCAGTTTTTCCTTTCGTAAGACTAGACTGAGTATAGAGGTTGGATGTGCCCTCATTATATTTCTTTAGATGCATTTAGAATATTCATATACTGATATTTGTATCTTCATACAAGCAACTAAACAACCCTGGAATGTGCCCATAAGTATATGTTTACAAATATACAAATGTATATACATACATATATATATATATATATATATATATATATATATATATATATATATATATATATATATATATATATATATATATATATATATATATATATATATATATATATATATATATATATCATATATATATATGTATATATATGTTATATATATGCATATATATATATATATATATATATATATATATATATATATATATATATATATATATATATATATATATATATATATATATATATATATATATATATATATATAAGTTTATGATACATATACACCATACATATCTATAGTAAAACACTTATACTTCGTTTTAATAGACTAAAGGACACAAAGTCTACAATGGCTAATATCATCAATATTACAAAAAGAGCAATATTGCAGCCCTGTACTGTTAATTAAGCTCACCATCTAATCTGACTGTGTATATCTGAAACTATATATATTGTATGTAATATATTCAATATATGTAAAGTATATTGTGTAACATATATTAATAGATTGTGTATATACATATATAAATGCATGAAAGCTAAATTATTAAAATATATCAGAGTTCACTGTAAGCAGAAGCAAAAGAAAGAAGAGAAATTACTTGAGCTTTAATCAGTCCATTTAAATGTCATCCAAGTTAATATATTGCCAATTGAAATCTGACATATTGAAGCCATATAATGAGGTAGGTTGAAAATGTCATTTAGATATTGACTAACATATTCTGTTAAGTGTAGTTTCAGGAAGGAAACTAGCAACTTTTTTTTCTCTCTCAAGAGATATGGCGAATCAGAGTACTCAAGAGTCAGGGGCGAGTTCCCAGTTTTTCATTTCGCGAGATTGAACAGAGTGTAGAGGTTGGATATTCCCTCATGTTTCTTTAGATACTTTTAGAATATTCTTGGCAGTATGCTGAAATTTGTATCTCTATACTGGCAACTTAACAACCTTGGAATGTAACTTTGGAAAGGTTTATATAATTTTAAATAATGTATATATATATATACTTGTATATAAATGTATATATATGTATATGTATATCTATATATTATATATATATATATATATATATATATATATATATATATATATATATATATATATATATATATATATATGTATACATATATATGTATATATGTATATATATATATATATATATATATATATATATATATATATATATAATATATACATATATAGCTTTATATATTATATATATATAGCTATTAATATATATTTCATATCCATATGTATGTATATACACATATATGTGTGTGTATATATATAACCTACATGTATCTCTCTCTCTCTCTCTCTCTCTGTAGATATGTGTAAATATGTATATATGTATATATATGATATACTTATAAATGTAATGAAGGTGAGCCTCTATAAGAAACAATAAATGGGGTATTTAAAATCAGATTACAATATAAATCAGATTATTAAACTGATTTAGATAGCTCTTTTTTATGTAGTATTGACATTATTAACCGACAGGAAGATGGGAACATGACCTGAATCAGGTTGCAGGAGGTGAGCCGAGGTCAGTTGATCCTGGGAAAACTTTATATACTTAGGGTTAATGAAATCATTTGTCCTGGGTGGGAAATATACATGCCGTGCTTTCTGTAATTTTAGTTTATTAACTTTACACAGAGATGACTCCGCAATTGCTTAGTCACCTGTTTCCTTGTTATTTCACCTGTTTCTTTGTTTCCTTGATTTTCAGAAAGTTTTTTTTTTTATTTCTTTTATTATCAGTAGTTGAGTAACATTGTAATAGTGATAATATCAATAATATAACAGCATCGATATTAACCCATTGGTGCCGGGTATGACGTGTACGTACGTGCTATGCCCACCGTGAGTACTTGTTCGATTGTTTTTACGCGTAGATAGCAACACTTGTACTAACTCCCCAATGAGCCAGTTTCGAGCACCGCCCGTCTCGCCCGTTTACCCGTTTCTTTGATTTACGAAATATTTTACATTATCTTATTTTGGTGTTACTAATGTTAACCCATTCGCCGCGGATGGCAAGAATAGATGCCATACCCACTTTGATACACTTTTATTTATTGTATTTACACATAGATGGCTCTACAAGTTCTTAATTACCAAATAGCCAATTATCAAGAACTACCTATTTCACCTGTTTAGCCTTTTCCTTCACTTTCGGAAAGGGTTTTTTGTATCAACTTATTGTCAAAAATATTCTAATGACAATTCAATCATCATAACATCAGTAACAATAATAACAGCATCGAAAGCAATGATATTAATTTTCCCGCCAAT